CTTAATTTGATTTTCAACGTGAATGTACATGTACATACTGTGTTTGTGCAGTACTTGCAGCTTTATAAGATTTCAAATGTACATGTACCGGTAGATGTAGTAGGCAGTCTGCATGTGTTTAAGTGATGTTGAATTTCCTGCTGACTTGTCAGAGTTAACTTACTTGTGTATCCTGTTTACATTGTTTTCTGGGTATACGGTACATTAATGAAAACCTCTCGATCTTGTAATTGTAACCGAACTTGATCCATTCCAAACAGAACTGTGTACATTGTAGGCCTACACGTGAACGTTAATTAGAGGTAAGCAGCTGGAAATCAAAGAATGAAATCCCTTTTCTTTCCTTAACCATCCCATCTGCAAGTTAAACAATAAAAAATGTATGAGTAAACAAGCGCTTCAAAGACAAAAGCAGGATGCTCCTCCTGACTTTCCCATCTTGATTATAATGGACTTTTGGTGACCTCTGTGGCACTGCATATGAACACTAATTGATACTGGACACAAAACTAGGTTGGGAGTTACCCCTTTCTCAAGAACACGGCTACAGCATTGGATTTCCAGCATAACAGGAGATGAGGCTCTCATCTAACGGAAGGCACTTAACGAGCTGCAGTGGGGTAAATAGGAAGAGCTCCCTCGCCTGTCAAGGGAGGGCCATCTTCCCTTTCTTTTCACAGCTGATTTATGGGAGGGGTGAGATTGCCTCCTACCCTCCCACGTATGCCATACACGTACTGAACATAGCATGCACATCTGCCAGGGGTCAGAGATACTGCAGTTACATGTATGTAAGTTACACTGGGTGCAAGTGTTGAAGACAACTTTGTGAATTCTGCATCATAGTAATGTACACATGTACATGTATATTTTACCATTAAGTATTTACCCGATATAACTTGCCCAACAGCACTCAACAACCAGCTGGTCAACCCTAACCAGTTTTGCATTTAAGCAGCCAGTCATCTGCATAAATAGCAAGCAGGAAGTCACAGGTTTGAGAGTAACCCATGTACGATTGTGAATACACAGTGTTGGTATATATTTACCAGTACAATAGTAAAGATTTTCAGCATGCTACTGCAGATCAGGGCAAAATTTTGGACACAATGCTTGTGCAAGCTGATGAGTGAAAAGCAGAAATTGAAGCATTGATGAAAACAGAAAGAAAAAAGCTGTAAGTACACACATGTAGGATCAAAATCAATTTCTGACTGATGATGTCCATGCCATATTTTCTTACCCAAAACAAATATGGTTAAATGTGACCAATGTTAGTACCGGTATGTGGACTTTTGAACAGGGAAAGTTTACCAAGACCGTGGGAGAGGTAACCAAGCTACCGATATCGGTATATAATGACTTGTTAGAGCACACTGCGTGACCTTTCTCAATTTAGCCAAATGCTGTGATTTCTTTATAATAAGACATGATGTTGATGTATTTCATTATCATGTGGAAATTATTGATGCAATGGTACCACCAACCTTCCGAATGCATCAAAAGTAATATTTACCACAATTGTGACCAGAAGAGGAACAACAGACTGGACACATATGGTATGTGCCACACCATGGTGAAACACACAAAGTGCATGCGTGGTATCCCTACATGTATGTATACAGCATGACTTTCAATGACTCACATTGTTTGCACTGGACTTGTCGTGTTGGGAAAAGTTACCTGGTCAGTTATCGCGGACAGCAGTTGGCCAATGGAACTGCTGGACGCAGAAAAAAGCAACTGAGAGGAAAATGTACCAGGTTGTCTGCACTTGGGAAAAGTACATGTACCCATTCTCTCGGTAAGCTTACCAAAAAAAGTCCAGTGCAGCCAGGGTTTCAATTCAACACTCAGTGATTTCAAGCATTAAACGAGTGAAAACATGCTATCTATCTCCACTGTACAATAATTGAAAGGGCTTCAGAAGTGGCCCTTGCATTTTGAACTTCATTTTGTTCAGTTGGACCACCGACTGTACCTAGAAAAAAAAAGTACTTACACAGTATTTTCTTTTGCAAAACAGCAAATGGAAAATTGACTTTCAAGAATTCCACCAGTATTTGTGCCAATCTTTGCAATTTACTGGCAAGAAACAAGCACCTAAAACATGCTTAAAAATACAAAGGTGAACTACATGTCTTACAATTTTCAACAGTTTCTGTCATTTTGACTATATGGATATTTGCTTGCATGTTTGTTAATAACTGCACAAGCATTTGTGCTACATCTATTGGGTAAAATAGCTGATCAAGTAATAACCATCTGGTCAGCAAATGAATAAAGACACATCTTACAATTGAGACAATGTCCAAATGTCTATTGCTGTCTCGAACAAATATTTATTTTTCGTCCATCTGCCAAAAAGGTTTTAAAGACATCAAATATTGAGTATTTTGGAAGAATACTTGTACAAATTATTTTGGGATTACCCCAAATCTGTATTTGTTTGTCAAAAGGAGCATCTTCAACTGTAATCATTCAGCAAAGCAATGCTACACAACACCTGGTTTGCAGTGGCAATGCAAAATGTATGTCTATATGGAGGATACTAACAATCTGTCACTCACCCAATATCCAAGCTATCTAGGCCATTTGCATCTCCATCTGCTGACTCTGAGGCTCCCCCTGGACCCTCGGACATCAAGGACTCTGTGATGGCAGGCCTTCCCACCTCATCATCATCAGCAACAGGGGCACCTTTGGAGGAGGTACCGGTAGTTCCACAACACTGTTGTCCTGTACCGTGCAATAACTTCACTGATAGCCCGCTCCTGCTGGCCAGTGATGCGCCAAGGATGGTCAGGCGCCGCTGACAGGCAACTGATGGGTGCTGCTGATTGGCTGAAGGCAGCAGTGATGTCACTGATTGCCATCGACACCAGGTGGAGCCAAGAAGGTGTCGTATGTAGCGAGTCATCGCAAAACCTACGCACATTTGATAAAAAACAAAAAGGGACACAGAACGTGGTAGATTAATTATGAGTTGAACCTGAAACTTGTGTTGCAACCCCAGAAGAAGTTCATTTATTCCCTATTAATCAATTTCCCTTTTCCTACTATAGCGGAAGTACACTTTTCCCAGCTTTAAATATCTGGAGACACCCACTACTGGTGGAGCATCATATTTTGTTAAAACTGATGGTAAACACTTTTTTACCGATTTCTCAACTTTTTCACTTTTTCGGATTTTAAGATTATAATGTGGCAAGTGCACACAACTACATGTAAGCCCAACAAAATTTTGAACTTGATTGATATTTTCTTTATATTTGAGACGTTTGATCACACAATGCTTTACAACAGGTGAAAAAACAGAAATGGCCTTCTGACCTTCTTTCACTCCACAAATACATGTACACACTATACATGTACATGTACATCAGAAGGAAACGGAGCTGATACATGCTGCGCAATGCTAGCACTATGAAACCTCAGAACACTGATGATACTCTGGTATTACAAATATGGATGAATTATCTTTATTTTCAATTTCAGAGCTTGAGGAATCAATTTGCAAAGTGAAGATTATACCATGAGTACAATCAAATATGTACACATAGATTTTTTCTTTTGACCCTGACCCCCTAGGGTGTACATGTATGTAAAATCATATTAAAATTGGAGAATTGAAGACTGAAGACTTATAAGAAGCATATTTCAAGGCAGCGGATACCTGTACAAATATTTCAGAATAGATCAATTTTTACACTGTATTAACTTTAAATTTCAAGTGCCAATTATTTCAAGAAGTAATGTGTTGAACACAAGGAAACTTCCAGCACCTGAAAAGGGCAGTTTGAGCCATTTGGGTTTATTTTAGTGGTCTTGAAATTACAGTTTTGTTTTTGAACATATACACTGAAAACTGTCCAACTAGGAATTGAACAAAAACACCTTAAGGACTGATCATAAGCAAGACCTATACATACATGTACATATGGTAATGACAAATTGGGCATGCTGTCCGTCAAAGCATCTTGGATTCTTGTACACTGAACGAGACTTCATCCTAGATGAACACATCCCCAAAGAACCCTGGGGAATTTTGTACAATGCAATGAATGAGTGCATGTTCAGTTCAAGGAAACACATGCAGGTACTAACATGTACAGTATAACTTGGTCATCTGCACAAATACATGTACATGTACATGCACATGTAGCAGGGCTTGTAATTAACAGTTTGAGAAGTACAAAATTCCAAAAGCTCTGCACTCACACAAGAGATACCGGTAAGTTCACACTGATACAATTTCAAAATGATTCTTTCCTTTTGATTTGAAGAAATCTGTGCAGAGGAAGTTATCATAAAGCACTAATCTTTTTTCATTAAGAAAATGCCACAGGGAAAGCCACATCCGACAAGTCATAATCTGCAGTTATTTAAAAGTAGCAAAAGTCACACCTATCAAGGACAAGCATCACTCAATGAAGTGGATGGAATCAGCTCATGCCTTTTAGTGAAGATTAGTATGAAGCAAACACTAAAAATGCCTGTTTTTCATTTTTTGTGTTGTTAGAGAAATTGCCCTTTTGTTGCTATGAACACAAACACAATGCTTAACACTGGTACATGTACACCAGTTGCATACAGTACATGTAGGTGCATACATGTGTACATGTACATGTATGCATGTACTGGTATAATCAATTCACTATCCTGGTTTACAAATATATTCCTGAAAGCTGATCCATAAAAACCAATTTACCAATAATCTTTGAAGCAAACAAGAACCATATATAAGCACATGGGTAATTCCAGAAATTAGGGGTCCAAAACGTTGTAATTTGACTTGGAAATATCACCGGAATTGATTTTAAACAATTACTATTTGTTTGGCAGGTAAATTTTTATAAATTCATTATTGAACTTACAAAATCATATGTCAGATGTGACAGCGACACGCAAAAAAAATGGACTCTTAATTTCTATATATATAAAAAAAATAATGTATTATTAATAATATTGTATAATATTGTACTATTAATTTGCATTTAACTTTGTGATAAAACCAGATGTAAATCATTATGGATCATGCACACACCATGTTCCGGTATTACTGAGAGAAATATGGATAGCAGGTTTCACTTGCCTTTTGGTCACGATTAAAAAAAGAAGAAGAAAATACCTGTGCATGCACCTACCAGTACATGTACATGTACTGTATCCACAGAGCTTCCCAGTCAAATGTACAGTGTGCATGTACTATACATACAAGTACATGTAGACATTTGGTACATGTACTGGTACTAAAGCTTTGGAGATGTTTCAAATTCTGACAGTAACAAACAAGTACCTGCAAATTTTTTGACCCACAACAAAACTCCCCCCCCCCCAAATTTCAGGATGACTCACAACAAACGTGCACACATGGTCGGCTCTTCAATAGCATTTTTAATTACAAACTGAACAGGATCATTACTTTTCGCTCTGTGAATTCTCCCCTTGCAGTGCGGGGGAACTGTATCTTCCAGAGCGTGGACACAAAATGAAATATTACATGTACATTGCTACTTAGTTTTTTTACCAGATGGTAGTCACGGCTCACCATCCACGCTATACCTCCCCCTTTTTTTTAAATAGGGAAAGAGAAAATGCCAGATATGCAAGAGGAGAGCCCTGAAATAATTCCTGCCTCTCAAATTTCAAATTCAAATTCATTTTGGGTAATTAAAACCAGCAGGGGAATGAATTAATACTTATGAACTGGTGAGTCTGTCTCATATAAATAAACATGATACAAGTACATGTAAACTGTGTACAGGACTGAAAATGTATCATAAAGTACAAGTACACTGTACATGTACATTAAAAAACACAATGTCCTCATTATTTTTAGATTCTGAAATTTACCCCAATATTTATTCATACACTGTGAAAAAACTGACATATTGTCTACTTGAACTACATGTATCGGTAACAGTAACTTACACAAAATAAATTACAAACGGAATTCTACACAAGTAATGAATATTCGCCTCTTGGAATTGAACATTTCATCTGTCCCCTATGAAATTATTCTAACCATTGCATGAATGTGAAACATTCATTATTTACTTATACAATACCTGCATAAATTCTACTTTTGTTAGAACTGTCCTCGTCATTTTGCAAACAGATTCATGTCTCAAATGTCACTCACTGGTAGTACGTTGATACCAGTATGTTAGACTGGTTCCAGTCCCCACATTATTTTCCTCTTTCTTAGTGGGAATAAAATATACATGTATGAAATGGGGGTGAGAACCAGTCAAGTAAAAAGAACTTCTATTCAATGGGTGCCATGGAATAAACCAAATAATTCAAAGACATGTGATGAAATGATCTATCAATTAGATGACAGGGATTTTAGGCAGGTACAAGTACTGTATAATTGTTACCTTGTGCATCTCAAATTACACTGTTAATTTTAACCCCTCCCAATGAAATCAGCCAATGAATCAACCATGCAGAGAGAAATACATGTACATGTACGGAGAGAAAAGTGGATCATTACAGTAACTATTCCATAAAACCTGGGAACGGAAAAAAATCAACCACCAAAACCTCTGTGAAGCACATCTAATATCTGACTGAGATAGCATTAACAGAAAGTTATCTTTGGGCAGAGAGAAAAACGCTGCCAGATTTGATTCACGCACAGGCTAAAGCCATAAAAACTGCGACAAAAGACCCCCCCAAATACATTTCTACATTGTGAACAATCAGAAAGTCTGGTAACATCAAATCAGGTTCCTTTCCCCCAACTCTAAACAAACTAGTTATCTGTACCCTGATCATGCTCCAACATGAATATATCAGTTTCAAAAACTGTACCTGTGCTGTCACAATGCCGTAAATGAAATCAATTCTTAAAATCCACAGGGAAATTTGGCTATTATCTGAAAGGGAACAATGTGTAAAACAGTACCTTCTGAGTAAAAATATGTATACCTTGGCCTTTCTACTGTAAAATTTCAAACCTTTAACATCACAACCAATCATCAAATCTAAGAAGTTACACCCCTTTTTTCAAGCAACTCCCCGGATGTACACACACCCTCAACTCTGTCACTCAAGGTTTATTTTCTTTAACGAGCCACCCTAAATAAAACAAAGGAAGATCTCGTAAAGGAATTGATCATTTCCATGAAAACTGCACCCAGAACTTGTCAAAGTAAACGCCCTCCTCTTTTGTAGCAGTAATTTAATTTTTTTGTTTTCTTCATGATCGGAATGGTCAGACTCATTAATATCTGCATTTCAGTGACAGTCTTGAAATGTTGTACATGTACATGTACATGTAGGCAACTGGAGACAGGCAGTTTCAAACACTTACAATACACTTAAATGTACATGTACATTGAGGGCCAAAGTATGGTAGCTAATGTACATAAAAAGAATAAGTGTAAATAGTAGGACAGCATGGGGATTGTGAAAATTAATTTGCCCAGGTGAGATGAAAATATCCTAATTTTTGGTATATTACAAAGCCGTGGCTTTATACCATGTACGGTGTACATCGATTCTCATGCTGAAAAATGTCCTTGGGCTTATACTCTGAGCGACTTATACGGCAATATTTGAAAAATGAAGTCGGTCACTAAACACCACACCATGCTGTGCCTCAGTGCAGCCTGACCACGGTTGCCGCCACCAGAGCCGCCGGTCAACCACGTGTGAAAGCTACGCAGCCCCCTGGGCGTGGGGACAAGCATAGGTAGTCATGTTTTCATTGGTTACCGTTTCATTGGCTCTACTCATGTTTTGGAAATATAGGAAACCAGTCCAGAGGGACTGAACAGACCTGTAAATGTACTGTAAGTACCGTTCGCACTTCACAAATCATGTTGGGTGTGTGTTCATTTTGTCTTTTACGCTTGTGTAATCCATGTCGCTTATTATTTCACTCATCAAGGACACTAATCCAGTCTGCCAAAATTAGTAATTTCAAGAACTTGGGAAAGTTTAGCTTGAATAACAACACTCATTCGTGTGCCGCTCACACTTAAGATTGTGTACCCAAAAGTGGTGCAGATCCTAACACTGGGCACTTTTTGCCTCTAACATTTGTGTATTATTGGAGCAATATTTGACTTCCAATTTTACAAAAGGTGAAATTTAATCAAACTCCAAATATTCTGATTCACAAAAGTCAATTTCATAAATCATAACCCCTACAAACTTCCGTGTATGCCACGTAATACTCTATACGTACTAGTGCTTTATGTGCACTTTGTGCAGCACATGTAATGACTTCTGTAGTTGGCACCCAAGTGCGGCTAAAACGCCAACTTTAAATCTTAATTTGCAGATCTTTGCTCCTTGCCGTGTGGCCTATATTCCAAAATTTACAGTACTTCAACCTACTCCATGTACATACCGGTACTACATGCATGTACAGTGTACATGTAGTTACATACATGTATGACTTGCACATATGGTCACAGAACAAGTACAGTACATGTACTGAATTTGGTTGAAATTTATTCGCTATATACACGTAAAAATTATGTAAATCATCAAGGGCCTAGAAAAAACAACCACTTTTTAAATAACCCTGTGTGTATTTCTTTGGATCAAAGATAAATCCTTGATAAATTTTTCCCTGAGAAGTGAGGCCATAAAATACAGAATTTCCTTTTCACCCCCCCCCATCCAATCTTTTATTGCCCAGTGCAAAACACTTGTAATAAAAAGGCACTGCTTAAAAAGATGCACAACAGAGGACAAGTGACAATGAAAATTGCTGTCTGACATTATACTCCAACATGCACATCACACATGCATTTTGTCAAACAGTGTGGTCATTGCAATTGCAAACATCCATGAAGTGCAATAAGGCCACATGTAGGTAGCTTTTTTAATCGAGTGCATCTGAGGTCACAAACCTGGAGATGAATTTAACCTTTATGCTTAAAAGTGCATTAAATTATTCAACAGACTGATAATTTTTGGCCAGTTTTTGTCAACAAAATTTAAATCAGAAAATTGGTACTTCTATATATTTTTTAAATTAAAATAGAATTCAGAAAATGGAGTGAGCAATTTAAGCTTGGCTTGGTGTGGTACATGTACATGTACTTGAACTACATGTACATGTACATAATACACAGAGGAAAACATGGAAATTAGGCTAAATGTTCATATTAAAGCCCATAACCTTTCCCTGTGACCAAATGTGCCCTCTAGGGATTCTTGGTAAATGCTTCATGCTTCACTCTGTCAGATTTCTGCGCGTAAGTGCACTGACTATCAAACTGGCCTTGTATCCTGTTATTATACAACCTGTCAAAAGGGTTGCACAACATTTGTAAACATCCTCATTTCATACATTTTGTGACCCTCCCAGTTGACCTTTTCAAAAGTACTTTTATGAGGACAGGAGAGGTACCGGTAAAATTGTCCGCAGAAACTGCAATTCCAAATACAAGTAAATCAAGCACTGAATTGGATGGACAAGGGAGGCTGTTGTTCTATACATGTGAAGTTGTTGGGATTCAGCAGTCCTCGTGTTTTAACTGTTTCATGGTGCAATGAGAAAGAATTTAACACAGGTCTGTGCAAACAACAATCATTGTTCAAAGGAAAACACATGCTGAATTACATGTACCATGCTAAAAGCAAACCAACCTTAAAAAGAGGGCATCTTGTAATCTGTTTCCATCTGAAAATAAGAAAACAGAGGGAGTAACACAACAATGTGCAGATTATTTCCTGTTCAAGGGATGTTTAGTTTGATTCTCCTCACTCTAGATAATGTCCTTTCTCTAATGCTCACACTGAACCGAATCTACTGGTACACACAGGTATACATATACATGTACATGTAAATATAAAAAAATGTCCACACACTTCTGTTTGCAGATGTTGGATGACCCAACATCAAAAATTCCCCCAAAACGATAACTTTTGTATGACCATATATGGTTTGGACTGGCGCCTTTCTTTTGGGAAAGACTACCCCAACATCGTAAAGAGATAATCTGTGACAAGATAAATGCCACCCTCACTTACAGAATTGGATTAAGCATAAGCAGTGGCAGCAACATAATAAATTGTCCCCTGAATTTTCCTTTCTATTTTTTTTCTTTCTGTGATAAGATGCAGGCCTAGATGTCACACGGGCGATGGGGCACTTGATATTGCATGTGTGACAGTGCATGCAGCTGTCACTTCATTAAGAAGGGTGCTTGATTGGCCACAAAATGTACTGGTCCAACAGAAAGACAGCGTGAAATGAAACATAATACACTGTAAATGCACATCTTTGGATCAGCTTTTTTTCTCCCCCCGGAAAGCAATACCTGGGCCAATGACAAAGATTGATGTGGTCAGGGCACAGAGATGGTATTGGATTGCTCATTAATACGTTGCTTCATCATGTTGTCCAACAGTGCATTTCTTACCAAATGACTGCTTTTCCAGATGTTGCAAACATGACTTTTTTATGGGGTGGAATAAGTTCTGAACATTTTCAACTAAGAGTATTTCTTCTGAGAATCTAGCAATTATATTAAATACTGTGACCATTACTATAAATACCAGGAATAAACCATTGAAAAAGATTTAACTGTACACTTGCTGCTTTATGTTATAAGTACTGTGCAGGATTTGATGAGCTTGTTTCCTCGTCTATCGGTACATGCATGTAAGTTGTTGCCAAAAGTACTTCAAAGGCAAACAAGATTTCAGAAGTTCCAAGTCACCAATAAACTTCATACAAATGCCTACATTTATTGAAAAGTCTGATTTGAGTCAAGTCCACTGAAATGAAAGGCTATCGGCATTTTGACTATGAACACAGAAAAAAATGAGAATTGTTTATAGCTACAAAATGCTTGGCCTGTGAGAGTCATTCTGGTACAGGTACAAAACAAAGAACATTAACTGTGGAGGATCTTGCTACATGTAGGCAGGTCATATATGTGACCTGGCACAACAAAATCAGCATAAAGTCGCATTCTGCTTTTTCCTGTTTTGAGGGTTCACAGTCAAATATTGAAGTGGGGGTCAGTTCTGGCTTCTTGTAATATTTTGAAAGATTATCCCTTCTATTTAATTCCAATTTTGTTAGCAGGATCAGATATTTAAAAATGTCATTTTCTCAGCAATTCCATGATAGCATTATTTGAGCCTGGTCAGAAATGTTGAAACAACATATGAAAATGTAAAAATGCCAGAATAATGCCACCTTGTCACCTCATACTTTTACCCTATGAACGTGTTCCATGTACATACCATATCTTGAAGGGTCTGTAATCAAACAAGAAGCAGTGAAAAGCACAGACTACAATTTCAAAATTCCTTGGAAGTAATGGTAGCTGAATTCAGAAGACATAAACAATCACACTGTATGAATGAGGCATGGATCATCTGCAAAAACTATTTCAAACCCCAAAGGTTACCAGTGAGTTTCAAAAGTCAGCACAAATATTATGATCATATGCTTCACAATTTAAAGACAATCCCCTCTGTGTGGCATGGGAAGGGACACTCCATGCCCACTGTTATGTGTGTAGTAGGCTGGTTGCCAGGCTAACTTCTCTATACAGTCTCTGGAGAATCTAGTTGCCTAGGGTACATGTTCACGTGCATGTACTCATTTGCACAAGAAAGTGCTCCCACGCAATTGGTTGTGACATTCAAAAGCAGTCTCCAAGTTGGGACTTTTTAGAGCAGGCAGGTGCTGATCTACATGTACGGGTGTAGGATCTTTTTATTTTCCTGGATTGATATGGTCTACATACAATTTCTATGACTTCACCTACATGTACTTTCTGGTAACAATTCACTCATCAATCAAGATTAACATTACTGGACCTTATATACCACAAAACAAGTATTCATGTTGAAACGTGACCAGACTAACTCAGCATGACAAATCAATTCATTTTAAATCTTGTAAGAAATAAAAAAGTTCCACAACTTGCTGAGTACTTGTTGACGAGACATGACAATACACTGTTATATTACATGCATATTGTCATGTCTCGTCAGTAAGTACTCAGCAAGTTGTGGAACTTTTTTATAACAGTGTACCGGTATATAAGTTCATATGGCACACATACATGTATGGAGATGTAAGACATGCATGGGTTATGGGGTATCAGAAAAGATTTTCTAGAACATGACAATATCACGTACATGTAGTATGACAGGGTTGTACAGGTTGGTACATGTACATGCTGGCATTCATCCTAGTACATGTAGTTGGCACTTCGGCTGCACGATGCCGTAATTTTGAAATTTTGACAGAGGGAAAAATGGCCACGAAAACAGTTTTCTCTTTTTGAAATTTTCAGTCAAACTTCATCCGTACAGTACAAAGATGTACTCGGTCTGTGTGAGCACATTACTCATTCTTACAGCTGTTACTTCTCTTGTTCATCCATGTACATACATGTAGAGTATTATACTTCAATGTCTTGAGAGAAAATACTACTACCTATACATGTGCAGTTATGTTCTGTAATGTCATCTTGCTTTGGATTTTTCACCATGGCATATGTACATGTGCATGTATATGTAAATGTACCGGTACACTGTTCATGTCACACCCCTTAATTTGGAGTTAAACTAAACTCAGTTTCACAAACCTTGGTGTAACATTGGGCCATGTGTATAAGCTTCATGTAATAAACATGTACATGTAGAGCAGCTGCATAATATGTAGCCTATGAATGTACGCACAAAAAATACTCTAAATCGTCATGAGAAGTGATTGTAAGGTACAATGTTTTAAACACTTCAAACACCTTTGAAGAAGATGATCTGAGCTTTTATAGCATTTCTTCATCATAACCAGGATGCAAACCTCAGTGTTCATTGAAAGTATACATCACTGTTTTCAAATCAAAGCTGTGAGTTTCTACACTGCAGTTTGAGTAACAATGAGCTTTATGGTGAACCCCAAGTACATGTAGATGTTCTGGTACACAATGAGAAAGCAGTAAAACTGTCCAGCTTGTTTGCTACATACCAGTGAATGGACAAACAAAATACATCCACATGGCATAATTTGTTGCCATTTACATGTACATACTGCACTCTTACCGGTAGCAAAATGTGCTTGTGGTTACTTCATGACTGACACATGAACCAATACAAGTAAAGTTTCATGAAATCTATTACAGAATTAGAAACTGCGTTCCTGAAACCTGCACAATCAAAATTGAAATCACAACCAGTAGGCTATACAATAAGAACAGGGGCACCATACACGGTGCACTGGACTAGAGAGCCTTCACTTGTACACATTCCTGTGACTTCCAACGAATATGGCAGTGTGTATGAGTGAGAGATCATATCAATATCCCTTGAGGCTGGCAAAAGAGAAGGGGGAAAGGTCAATAGTAGGCTTTGTCCCTTTGGTTGAAACTAAGCTATGGAAATCAAATTCCAATCTTTCACTTTCACTTCATGTACTGGAAGTACAAGAACAGTAATTCAATGGACCTGTGACCCCTTCCCCTGAAAAAAGGAGAAAACAATAAACTACATGTACTAGAAATTGTGGAGATGAAAATATTTGGGTCATTGGTAAATCATGAATAAGAGCTGTGGTTATGGAAAAATAATGAAACCACACTTACAGGAAAAACCTAAGTGCACACATGTACATGTACTGTACATGTACATGTATTGTGGAGACTGCAGCATTTCTATTGACAATAAATTCGGACTCCAAAAACATTTTTTCACAGGCAACAGACACAAATCAAGAAACCACCATTGAATTAAAAAAAATCATGCATGTAAACCAAAAATAAAAATAGTAATAAAAACGGCATGGATAGTGACACTAAATACTCATTATCTTTGCAGTAAATACATGTAATGTACATGTATTTCAATATGAAAATGTTTAAGTCTTAAAAGTACATGTACCTGTAGAATTCTTAACACACTGATGACTGACAGATGTCTGTGATGCCAAACAAGTATAAAGCGTACTTCTCAGAAGTGTTTTACAAGCATTGTGCACCTTTTGGTCCATCTCAACCAGTACATACACTGGTAAATTAATTTACCAATGGGCAGTTTTTCATCAGCTTTACACGTACAAAACACTGTTAGTATATAAAGGACGCAAACTACATGTACTGATAGGGTTATCTTCACTGGTACATGCACATGTATGTACATGTACATGTATTTATTTGAGAGTGGACATAAGGTCCTACTCAGCCTCAGACATATCTCACGATATATGTCAAATGTTGTAAGCTATTGGCGTGGAATGGAGGAGATTTATACCGTCTATAGTAGTACGCCATTACGAAAAAGATGACTGTATATGGATAAGACCATTCAGACTTTGTTGATCTCGGCAAGAAATGGGACAAGATGTTGTTAGGCAAGGAACAATCTGCTGAATCAGCCCATTCAGACGGATTAAAGTTTATATGAAACAACTCTTTGCGGCTAGGAGGATATTTTTAGAAGGAAAAAATGGGAGGCCATTCATCACCACTACGAGGGTATTTTTAGAAGGAAAATAGAGGAGCTTATATATGTATATGTACAGAACTAAACTCAAGAGCATGGTTGGTGTGCACATCCTAAGGCCACTCCTGTGCAATATCACTTAACACTCTGCGCCTTAGACAGATGACCACATGTTGCATTGAAAACACATTTGTGGAAAGTTGCCGTGTAAGACTCTCAAAAGAACAGCAGTGTTACCGACTTTCTCCTCTCAAGTGTGAATTCTAGAGATATTCCTATTAATTAATGTTATCTAGGAGGGCTGCTTTGAGTGGTATTTACCGGTACATAGTACATAGTATATATGTACAATGTATATGTACTGTACATTGTACATGTACAATGTACATGTACTGTACATTCAGTATCTGTCAAACCACTGACCACCAGGTTAAATTTTTCAGTGTCACATTTGACCTGAACAGGAATGTGGGGGGGGCAGTGTCTGAAGTTTCTCAGGGAATTTCAACTTGTAAAAGAAACAAATTGGAAAAAGCACATCCAAGGTTGGGAAATTATTTCAAATCATGAACATCTAGGCCTACATACATGTATTATCAGCGCCAGTGCCAGCATCTAATCATTTGAAATTAAAGACAACATAAAGAAAACCAAAAGTAACGAGTGACTATGAAATTAGAATAGAATATGGAAATATTGTTAATGCAAGAACAAAATATACTAAAGATTCTTCCCAATCCCCCCAAATATACAACCTACATGTACCAATATACCTACAAAAATACATGTAATAACTGACATCAAATATGCCACCAAAGAGCAAAAGCAACAAACATATTTCAAAATAAACTTACCTGAAGAAGAATACTGGCTAGCATGTTTACATCTAAATAAATTCTCTGAGCCCCCCCCCCAAAAAAAATAAAAATAAACTGAAACAATACTGGAGGACTGAAAGAAAAGGCAACAGGTTAACTTGACTATGCTAAGCCTTAGGTTCCTGACTTAAAGCTCCTCCCAAATCATGTGACAATAATAATCCACAAAAAGTTAGTCTTGATTTATATCAAGGAGCAAACTCTAAAAATATTTACGATGCCCGACATTAAACAAACTTAATAACCAGAACTTTGTCTCATCAAGTGGTACTAAAAAAAAAAATGCATAAAATACACATTTTGATGTCAGACTTACGTGAACGCATCACTTTCCTTTACACTTGTAAAAATTCACAATGAAGCTACTGGTATCACAGGGCCTCCATATCCACAAATGCAACAGCTATGGCCTGCAAAGGCTAACTCTGCTCAAGAGTTAACACGTACATGTACGTACAAGTACGGTAAAATGTAAAACAGAAGAACTGTGTGGAAGCATTTCACCGTACACTGAACATGTTTATTAACAAATCCTTGCATACATATACATGCATATTAGGAGATTCTTATATTGCTGCATCACCATTTGAACAGTTTCTGTATCAGAAGTAAGTGTTATAAAGACAAAAAGCTACGGATTGTTAAAACTCCAGCAAAAATTCTTCTCCAAAATAAACTCAACTCACCTAAATTTAGCCCTAACTACTGGGATGTTGGTTCAGCCACATTCAGCTGCACCCCAAATGAATACTGTGCACCAAAAGAATCACGATCCTAATCATATCGTATCCGGAAGCTACAACAAAAGTCAACATCATCAAATCAATTGATGGCTACAAAGGGCACGCACCATGCATCTCTAATCTCCAGTGAGCACCTCCTATTGAACTCATCAAAAAAAACAAAAAAACAACACACGCACAGACATACAACAGGACAACTTGGTGAACAGCCACGCTGTACTATTAAACAAACTTAAACCATATGGAAGCCTAAATAACACAGGAAAAAAAACACATTGAATGTAAAATATTGGGTAGGTTTTTTTTAACAATATACTGACCTTGTAATACTAGCCCACAAAATGCACTGTTACCTCCCCCGCTTTTCCTACATCATCGTTCCAGGAGGGTACCGACTAAACTACACCGCTCAACACAGCTCTTCACACAAAGAGCTTTATGCTTGACACACAGTGCAGTATACTGCATGCAGTTTGGAAGACCCTACATACCCTTTGTACTGGCCATCCATACTGGGCTCACAGTCTCCGTCCCACTCTCACATGCACGTACACATTATATACAGTACATGTACAGTGTACATGTATACACAAAAGGTGCACAGCACACAGAGGATGGATAGACCAGGAGATGAAGAGAACAGGGGCAGGCCTACGTGCAGACAATCCCCTGGAACAAGAGCAGCATGCTGAAGGCAGGTGCACACTTGGCCACCCCAACCAGAATGACACCGGATGGGAGAAAAAAATGTACAGTCAGACCATGGCTAATCATCAGGGGCCCCAAGCTACCTACTCCGCATGAAGTGTTCACGTACTCTCATGATAACACTGGCCAATCAGTAGCACAAAACCAAAGGGGCAAAAAAAAAAAAAAAAAGAGAGAGAGAGAGAGAGAAAAAGCATCCCAGTCTTTTGTTGGCACAGTGCCAGCAGCACATGTACATAAGAGCTGGTCAATTTAATACTGGTAAAATTCCATATGGGTAAACACATACGATTACAAGTGTATGAGTATCATGAGCATGTACATGTAGGTTAAGAGTAGCTTGAGTAAACTGGCAGCACATCCAAGGAAAAGTACTTTGTACAAAAGATACAAAATACAATAAGGACAAAATGTAGAGAGAAGAGGGAAAGAACAATTCTGAATTTCATGGTGGAAATGCTCTGGGATAAACTATGATTATTAATAATATCATGATAATTTGTTACAGAGAATAGGTGCTCTTGGCTCACAGAACGATGGAACTACTGATAAATGTATTACATGTAACTACATGGAAAAAAAGCAGCTGTAAGGGTAATTTATTGCAAGCAAGAGCAGAATTCTTTGCTTTCTCTGTAAGTTACAATGTACATGTATGTATGTGCCAAGTGTAACAAACTTATCAGCTTCATGTACATGTAGCTTACATTTCGTGAGCACCAGCAAGCTGACAATAATGGTCAAAGTCATTATCACTTTTTGCCCTCAATTTACAATGTCACAGTGGAGCAATTCTAGTTCCCTGATATTTTTAACAGTGACTTTTCTTACCATGCCTTCAGTTTAATATCTAAAATGTGTCGGTACGTGTACAGTACATGTACATGTATCATTTTCAACCCCCAAATTACGTGCATAACTGTTATGAAAGTTTTGAAATCATATTTAATGTATTCATACACTTATACTCAAAGCCACACCTGTGCCTCTAAACAAATGTAAAAACCCTACTCTTTTTAATGCAACATCGCACCACACTTTCTTTGTACAATAACTTATACAAAGAAATCTTACCATAAAACAAAGTTTTGAAAACAAACAACAATTAGTTACAAGATTTGTAACTAATCCATTCTGGACCTAAATGACTACAAGTACTTTTAAAAGGTGCACAGGTAACTACATGTACATGTATAGAACACTGTTTACATGTACATATTATGTTTTTCACAAACTGGAGTTTAATATTTTCTCCCTGCCCCATGTGTATTATACATTGTACATGTAACACTGCAAACTCAGTGTTTGCCCCAAAAGGCTTGTGAAAAAAAACCGCAAGCATACTTGGGTGGGACTCGAACCCGCGACTTCCTGCTTACTAGTGCAGATGTCTTAACCCTGTGCCACCAAGTTTGCAGTGTTGGCTGGCTGGTTTGAATCAGATGTAACAGCAGGTACTAAGAACAACTATTTCCAAGGATGGATTTGCGCCAAGGAGATGTTAATTCAAGTCCTACCTGAGTACGCTTGTGGTTTTTTCACTAGCCTTTGGGGGGGGGAACACTGGGAATACAGTGTTATAATACGAGTTAGGCAGGGCAACAAATCCAAAATTAACATCTCCCCAGTGCAGAGCCATCTTTGGAAACTGGAGTTTCAAGTTTCATCACATAATACTCTTTCTTTAATGTGAATTTACTACGAGTAAGTGGGCCTTCTGGAGTTGACAAGCTTTTTTCCTCTCTCAAAATGCTCTCTTTCTTTCTTCATATTTCAAAATACAATGGGAGCATTCCAGATTAGTGCAAGGATAAAAAAGAAACTGCATGTGTCATGCTTTGGACATATTAAAGTCTCAATTTCATTTCCACAAAGGCTGGTGGCCACTGTTGCATGTACATTATTTGAACCATTTCATGGTGGGGACTTGTCTATAGTTATAAATGTTGCACTCGTATCATACACTTCTACATGTACCGGTACATGTACATGTAGGTGATGCAACAAAGTGCAGCTCACTGCAATTTCAGGGTACTTCAGTGAGGACAATGAGAATGCTGTACAATACAGTCATGCATGTGGCCATGCACTTGCACACACAGCTTGTTTTTTGGCAATTTGAAATGATGAATGAAACTACCAGTATGGTCATGATGGTATTTCGAACTTTTCACATGGCTCTTTGTTTACAAAAACTACTGTGTTTTACCACAGTCCTCAACCCTCCAATTTCCATATGATTTTACGTATATTGTACATTTTAAAGGGATAGGGTTAAAATGGTCAAAACACAAAAATACGACCCCTAAAGAAACAGCACAACAGAGACCAAACACCAAAGTTGAAAAAAAGAAAATTCACTCAAAAAATATACAATAAAAAGTAAAAATAGAACTGTGTAAAAGTCACAGAAATTACCAAAAACATCACATTAATCAAAATTATTTTATGAATGGAACAGTTTCTTCAGAACTTTTTCAATTACTCAGTGTTTGAAATGCATGTACTGTCTTGCACAATATCACAACATTGACTTATTGTTGCACCGTACTATTTTGAAATTTCAAAATATTGGTGCTTTCAAATGCATTTCCTTGTCATTTACTCTGAATCATTCCATTCCAAATGTTAAAAGGGTCCCACTTTTAATAATGCCTAAAGGGGACAATGGAGGCTTCAGTTTTCCTGTTACTAAACATTTGGAAAATAAATTAATGAATATGTTCACATGGAAACCTCTAAAAGTGCTGAAACAAACATTTACAATTGCATGTGTACTGTACGAGTACAATTTGCACTCACACAGTACATGTTCACTGTATTTTCCAAAATTGTCACTGGCTAACATCTCTGTGGGACTGATGTGTTCTATAGTTAGGACAAGAAAACAGTGCACTGGTCAAGTGATGAACATACATGTAGCTCATAATTGTAAATGAAGTCAGGCTCACGTACAGGTGCAGCTAATCCAGTATGTGTACACCTGTCTCATACATGTATATGTTGGACTGGTCCTGTACATTGGATGCTGTATGAGACACTGGAATGCATGACTTTGGTCAAGTTTGCTTACTGGACAAGAATTCAGAACTACATGTATTATCCACCCTTTGCTGATACATATACCAGTGTTGTAGGACTCGAGTCCAGGACTCAGACTAGAGTTGGCCTCCAGTAACTTTTTCCAAGATTCAGACTCGACTCAGTCACATTGGAAAATGGCTCAGAGTTGGCCTTAGACTCGACCATGATGACTCCGACTTGAACTTGGTGACTGGTAATTCGAGTCACATATTTTCCTTTAAAAACCCCACAAATTTATGAGAAGACCGTAGCATTCCTTCTTAATGTACATGTAACTTGATGCTAGGCCACGAAAAATTGCATGTACATGTACATGTACATGTAGTTTCCGCAGCCACGTACATGTATCCCAGGCCCTATAGTTTTATGCCGAAAGTGTCCACTTCCATGGAATGTTGTCCCAAACGCCTCTGTATGCACGCTGTAAAGCAAAAAGCTACATGTACACGTAATACAACAGGGACACTATCTAATATCATCACGTACATGTACATGTACATACATTCATGTGCCCACATCAGCCAAACATTATGTTTTCAAGATGTATTTTTGCGTTGGGGAGATGTTAATTAT